TTAAAAGTTTAAATTAACAAGAAAAATTTTTAAAAAGATCTATCAAATATATACATTTCTTGGACTAAGAAGAAGAAAAAAAGAAAAGCAATGGAGTCCCCACTGATGAAATACAATCACCTTGGATATAAAAGACTTTTTTCAGTGGAGCTAAGTCTTAGGAGTCAAGTGTCCACAGATTGCTCTCAGCAAAAGGATGATGTTCCAAGCTCAAAAAGTCATCCTGGACAGCCTGGCAATATGGATGACAGAGGCTGCAGAAAAGTCAATTGCCCACTCCACTCCCCAGGCAAGCCAAATGACTCCATGAATGAGACTGAAGCAACATCAACAAAATACCACCTCCCCAAACCCTCACCCCCACAAAAAAAGAAAAAAATCAGAAGACACAGCCATCACCATCTGTGATACTATACAAGGCCTGAGGGGTGGCCTAAGCAGAATGAAATTAAGCACTATAGGAATTCAGAGAGAAGAAAACATTCATTCTCAGTAAGAAGATAAAGGAAAGCTCCACAAAAGTGGAATTTAAGAGGGCCCTGGCGAGGATGAGGAAACAGCCTAACAAAGGCCAAAGGTGACAGAACAGATGGTGTGTTTGGAAATGAACACGATCTAAGCCATATTAAAGTGTACATCTTATGCTGCTGATGCTCCACTCAAAACTGGAGCAAGGGGTAAGAGCGGAAGGCCCCTGGGACTGTCAATGGTTTCCTGCACAGTGTGAAACTGTAGACACGATCAACTTGAGTGCAGTGTATGGGCCTCTCAAATTAACTCATTTATAGGAATATACTCTCCATATTTAACTTGGCTTCTTTTTCTTGGAACAGGCTCTTAAATCCCAGAAACTGACATTTATCTCATTATACAGGGTGCCTGTCATGACCCCAGATCACCAAAAGTCCTTAGCTGTGTGCTAGTTGATTCTGTCAATACATTTTCCTTACAATTTCCCAAGAATGTTAACCCGAAAAGAAAGGGACTTTAGTTTCAGGCAGTATCCGTTCTCCCTTTAGCTAACAAAATGCAGTATTTATTTTAGGGGTAAGTCTCCTTAAAATAAATATTCCCTTAAATATATACACATTCCCGATGTCATTTTAATGTAGTACATGCTCCTTCTAACACTATAATCATTGTTTTAAATCAATAAAATGGGACCAGGTTTGATCTGCACAACCCCAAATAGCAGTTTTGGGTTAAAATACACACATTTTACTCAAGGTTTTCTGGACAAGTTCTAACAGTTAGTAGATTACGTATGAACAAACCTATTCCTTCACAGCAAACTGAGTATGTATAAAAGACAGTCTATTTTTACACATCATAAGCCTTCAAAAATAAAAAAGAACATATTAACTTTTACCTTTTTACTTTTATTCTGGCCTTTATGAAGGTTTAGAAGTATCATTTACTAAACACAAGTATAAGTAAAACTTGAAAGAAAGACGAAATTAAGGAAGGAACACATCTTTACTTTTATATTCCTTTAATTCAATGAATAAAAATATCAGGTGCCGAAAGACACAAAATGAAGACACTGCCCTGGCTCTTAACAGCTCACAATCTAGTTGGCAGAAACAACTGACAGACAACCAAAAATCAGTACTGATGCCACAGCTTGCAATTTTGTGTGTGAAAAATCAGACCTCGGCAATGACCTTGAGCAGCAGGATATAAATAACTCCGAAAGCTTAACACTCCAATAATGGAACACTAGGCATAAATAGGTTAAGCACTACTCCTGGGTGTACCTCACACAGTATTTAATACGGAAGGTTACTAATATATGATTAATTGGTTGACTGGATAAAGAGATGCATAGAAGAATGAATGGAGATACGACTAGTACTTCTTGGTAATAGAGAGGAAGGTGAGTTTATCCTGCACAGGGAGGGAGGGGATGGGTAGTTCAGGAAAAACCTCCCATAGGAAAGGGTGAGCCAACTGCATCTGAAAGTAGTGTTTCCACAGGGATGATAAACACTCAGGATAAACAAAATTCAGACAAATTTATTACACAGCTATGTAATTATTTCAAGTTTTGTTAAAAGAACCACAAAATCTGTGACTTGAAAGCTATTTTTACTTAGGATGAGGGTAAACATTTAATTTTTAAGGTGATTCCATGTACATAAATATCAGATATACACAGATCAGGTGGCATGTGGATATAAAAAAGACTGAGAAGTACACAAATAGCTGAAATTTTTTAAAATGCAATTCAAATTCAGGATAAGCCAGGTGAAAGGAGAAGATAATTATTCCAGAGAGCTATTCTAGCCAGAGGAAAGATCTTAGGCCCAAGCAAGGGAGCAAGAGCCACAGATACCCACAGAACGTTCAAACAGGTGAGTGTTGCTGTGATATACAGACCAAGGCAAATAATGGCTGAAGAAGAGGTGTCAAATTACAGAGAAATCAGTACCGAATTAAACACCATGAACTTATCTTGTAAGAGTTAGAGACCCACAAAAGGGACATAGCTCTGCTTGTATTTTGAGGGATTCCTCTCACGGTTGAGCAGAGGACAGACCCTGTGGGTGGGAGGCAGACTGAAGGCAGGGAACACAAACAAAAAATGACCTGAGGTTTGGTGGTAATAACAGTCAAGAAATACTTAAGCATTTAAAAAAAAAAAAAAAAAAAAAATCACCAGGCTCTGGTGACTGACTGGCTGGGAATGGATGAGACAGAGTGTTTAATGGTTGACAGCCTGGGTGCTGGCTAGATGGTGTTATCACAAATTCAGAGAGGAGGACATACTGAGTAGGAAAAACCCAAGGAGCATCTGGGTAGAAAGGTGCAAGGAACAACAGTGTACAGAGGCGCAAGGTAGTGAGAGAGGCTGGCAGAGATGTCACAAGTGCTAACAGGGCAGGAAAACAGCAGAGAAAGGCAAAAAAGCATGGGGCAGAGGGTGGAATCCATAAAACATCAACATTTAAAAAAATAATAATAATAATAATAATAATAAAAACATCAACATTTAAGGGCAAGCCCTTAGTCATGGAGGAACAGTGTCAGAAAGGTACAAGAACCATATGCCAAAGTACCAAGGAAAGAATCATCAAAAGCTGCCTTAATGCCTCATATCCATTAAAATGGCTACTACTAGAAAAAGAACACAACACACAAATGGAAAACAAGTGTTAGCAAAGATGTGGGGAAACTGGCACTCTTGTGCACTGTTGGTGGGAACCTAAAATTGTTCAGCCTCTATGGAAAAACACTACAGCAATTCCTTTAGAAAACTAACAAAGGACTACCATACGATCCAGCAATTTTGCTTCTGGGCATATAACCAAAAGAATTGAAAGCAGGGTCTTAAAAAGGTATTTGCACACCTACTTTCACAGCAGCACTGTCCACAATAGCCAAAAGGTGGAGGCTACCCAAGGGACACTGGACAGGTGAACAAAATGTGGTATATACATACATACAACGAAGCATGCAGTCTTAAAAAGAAATGATTTCTGTCACATGCTACAACATGGATGAACCTGAAAGACATTATGCCAGGTGAATTAAGCCAGTCACAAAAGGACAAATACTATATGATCTCACTTCTATGAGATAGCTAGAATAGTCAGCTTCGTAGAGAAGAATGGTAGTTACCAGGAACTAGAGGCAAGAGAAAATGGGGAATTATTATTTAATGACTATGGAATTTTCGTTTTACAAGATGAAAAGAGTTCTAGAGATGGATGGTGATGATGGCTGATGGATGGTGATGATGGCTGCACAATAATGTGAATGTAATTAACATCACTGAACATTTGAAAAGAGTTAAGTTTGTCAATGTTATGTGTATTTTACCACAATCCCCAAAAAGCTACCTCAAAGACTAAAAATAATCTTTCAAAATGTCCACTTGGATTGAGCAATTCACAGTGAGAAGGTCTTTGGCAGTTCTGAAGAAGTGCTGAGGACAGAGGGCAGAGTGGATGAACTGGATTACAGAGTGAATGGGAAAGTAGAGAGCAAATGCAGACCATTTCCAACAAGTTTGGATAAGAAGATAAAGGTATCACTTGCATGACTGCTAATAAGGAGAACTCACACTTAAGGGAGATCTGTGAGGGTTTTCGTATTATTTGACAATGATAACAGGCATGATTGATCATGAGCATGCCTCCCTAGGACAGCGGGAAAGAAACTGGTAAAATGGGTAATGTCGATGTTATAGGCCCTAAACTGGATGAATTCAAGTAGATGGAGTATAGGAGACCCAGGTCTTTCCTCCTTAAAGATGTATTATGATTGTATTAATCCAGAGCATAATTTCAGAGAGCCCCAGAAAGAATATGTTAAAGAAGGAAATATCTTGACATTGGAGTCAACCCAGGACAGAAACAGAATGTTATGAAACCAGATTTAAGTCAAGAGAGTAATGTGAAGAAAGATTAGAGACCCCAAAGCCCCAATTCAAGGCTGGAAATGTGTCAGGACAACAGATGAAGTCGAGGAGGCACTGTCATGCATCAAGTCCATCCCTAGAACAGGATAAGTCTAGAGGAGCAAATCCCCCAAGTCCCAGAGGAGATAGTATAGTCCTTTCAATATCTCTTCTCATTAGACAGTTATCTTGCCCTGCACCAATCAAGACCCTCAGGTTAACACCTACTTAAACAGCTTTCCCGCCTCCTTCCCTGGTACTGAAAGAAGAAAACGTGCAAATGCTTTCCTCTCAAATATTTTTTGGTTTTGAACAACTTTCAAAAAGTTAGTTTGAAGCCATGTGAATTACAACTTAAAAATACTTCCCAATAAATACAGAAGCTATTATTACAACAGCTTCACAGGAAAAGGTCATAAACAAGCATGGGAAAGATGTAGCCTCCTGCTGGCTGGAGTTCTCACTTGCTGGGTCTCTTTCCACAGCTGGTTTCATACAATTTACTATTTAGTCAGGCCTTGGTAATCTATAACCCTAAGCAAATCCAAATCACATCCAAGTTATACAAGCACATATTAGAACTGGGCTCCAAAGAACCCTAGACATCTGTAGTACCTGACATTCAAGCATTTGGCAAGATGTCAATATTTCAGAGAGCACTTTAAATGTTTTGATTTGAGAGCTAATGCAGTGCTTCCCACTGGTCAACACGAGCAGTCCGGGCAGAAAGCAAAATCTATTTCCTTCAACATCAAATGCCACACTCAGTTGCTGATCCTATCTTGCCTACAGAGAACCTAAGAGACTGGAAAAATTGGTAAGTAAGAAAATTCCATTTAATGCCGAATACAGTTAAATAATATTTGCAATTCCTATAGAAAGTGGCTTTGTGTGGTGTTGACATCCTAAATTCTTCTTTTTTAAATGGATGGAGTCACAGAGTTATCGGCTAAGCAAGACTTTTCCAAATTCAAGTAATAAACCAAGTCTAGTTAACTTTTCCAGGTAAATATCCTTTTTTAATTTGATAAGGCATGATTTCCTTTCATGGGGTTCTTGTATTAGGCATTAGGAAATTCCTATTTTAAAAAATTTGTAAACTTACTTTAGGAAACAGTCAGATGGGTATGTGGGTAGTGAGAAAAGTTAGTATTTGATATGAGAAAGTAAACCAGTGCAGCTGGGTTATGATGTATGTAATCCTCACAGCAAAGGCAGTCTAATAAAGAACGAAGATACTGAAGAAAGAAAACAAAAACTAGATGGTTTGGTTTAAAAGCACAAAATGCTAAAACTCCACAAAAACTGAAACCAAAGGTGAAATACTTCATGCAAGGCAGCTGTGAAGTCTTCCCTGAAATATTAAATGCACAGGTCACTAGTACGGATTTAATGGTGAGTCACAATTTATTTTCAAAGGAAATAAACAGGAATTAAATAGGTTTCATACTTACTATTTTATTTTTTATTAGTGTCTTAGGTTTTAATTTTCCTTGACTTAATTCTTGATTCCTCCCTCTGAGCATTAAACATTTAAATAACAAACATTCAGAGCATTTTTTGTTTTAATTTCTGAATGGCAAGGACAAGGAATATTAAATTGACTGTTTTTCTATAAATTATGTAGTAATTTCTAAAAATCTAGACTAATAATTCAGAAACTTAATACATTCTTAGAATCTGCTCCAGATTATTTCCTAGACTCCCCCCACCAAAAAAGAAAGTAAACAAAAGAAAATCTTTTTAAAAGGAGTTCTGTCTTCTGAAGAAATTATAACAACACTGCAACTAAGGGAAGGCAGAGCTTTTTTAAAACCTGTGACTCTTGTCAACAAATGACTCTCTAAATGAAGAAAATGCAACTTCTTAAGTCCTAATTCACTTTTATACCTCACAACTTTCTTGCCAGTATTCCACACAAAGAAAGAATTCACAAGAGAAATGAAAAAAAAAAATTGTGTGTATGGGTATATGTGTGTGTGTGTGTGTGTGTGTGTGTGTGTACACACATAAAATATCCCACTGTGTGTGTATATATACACATTTACATAACCCACTGTGAAGGGGTGTGTGTGTGTGTGTGTGTGTGTGTGTGTGTATCCCAGTTAACATAATTAAACTGACTCCACATCAGTCCATCAGTCCCATCCATTATAGGGAAGATGCTTCATTGCCTTTAGTATTTCTTCAACACAAAATATTTTACAGGTTGCTAGAGATTAACAGGAACAAATCTAGAGTGAAAGTTTTGTTTTGAAAAATACAATAAAATGTAGGTTTACTTGCTTTTTCCCATACTCTCTTCTATACTGATACAAATTCATGTATTTTAACATTTGTAATTTTACTAATAACTTTGGTATTGCCACTTTTTGAGATAAAAAATAGTAAAATATCAGCAATCTGATGACTCAACCTAATAAAGAGATACAGTCTCAAAAGGCAATGCCAGATGCCAAGGGGTAAGGAGAAAACCACTAATGATATTTTACATAATTTTTACGTGATAGCAAGATCTAAGACTTCTAACTAACACAAGTACTGAACTCCCATAAGTATAGTACCCTGTTTTTAAAGGCTTTACACAGAAACTCTCATCTCATTGGAAGTTTTCAGCAACAAGGAGCCACTGGGAAAGGCCTTCTATTCTTGCCCCTGTTTTACCAATTAATAAATGAGGTTCTAGAGAGGCTCAGTGACTCAGGCAAGATGACACAGCTTATCAAGACCAAGCATGGTATTTTAAGAATAAAATCATCTGGCTTCACATCCACTGCCCTTTCACCTATTGCTCCTTGTCTCTGACCTAAGGAAATGACCAGGTCCAATAAATACCAGGATTTATATATAAATACAAGTTAAAGATGCAAGAGTGTACAACACTGGTCAGTCCCTTGACTGCATATTTACAAAACAATGGCAGTAATCACACTGTATAAAATAGTCAATATTATTGGGACTCAGCTTTTTATAGAAGCAATCTTGCATGGTGGATAAAGGAGATGCTTACAGATAAACAACTAGATTTGAATCTGCCATGATCTTGAGCTACACCTTTTGTTTTGTTTCTTAGCTCTTTTCACCTGTGACCCTCTTCTGTGCCACTTCCTATTAAATAGATTTTAAAAAAGATAAAGCCAAACAGCTGCTGAGAAACTAAACAAGACATGTAAGTACCTGGCACACAGCAGCTATTCAATAAAAATGGAGTTCCCTTCCCGTCATTGCTAATAATTTATTAGGTCAATAGTGTAAAATCCCACTGGAAATTGCTTTAGCTGTAATCTGAGAGTCAGAGGACCAAAAAAGAGATCATAGAAATAAAGGAAAATGAGTACCTCTCCCAATTTACCTGCTATCACTCCCACAAAAAACTGGGCATCATGCATTGTGTCAGTACAGATGTAGTGAGCATCTATCAACACACGCCCACTAACTACCTACTACCATAAGTAACCTACACTTTAAACAATGGGGGAATTCCTTCCAGACCAGAACAGTGGGCCTGACAATTATGGAGCCTGGAGTTCTGGGTCAGGGGTTATGAGAGCCACAGGCGGCGGCCATTACAAAAAAACTGGTGGGAGAAAGACATGAGGATTACTACTTGTGTGATTCACACATTTGGTGGGTGGATAAACAAATAACCTTAAAAAAAATCTCAAGAAAACAAAGTGAAATACATGTGTTCTATACAAGTGAAAAAGATGAAATTGGGAAGTTTTGAATATTTTTAAATTTATTTACTCTTCATAAAATGTGGTGTCCTTTTTTGATATTTATAGACAGTTCACTATAATACATATATTTAATAGCTTAAAAGCTGAAATGTTAAAATAAGCAAATAACAATTACGAAATCTCTTATTAGAAAATATAGCTAAATATATTTTAGTCGAGAATTCTGAAATTTTCGGTCTCAGGATCCTTTTTACTCTTAAAAAATTACTGAGGGGCTGGGCCCAGTGGCTCAAGCCTGTAATCCCAGCACTTTGGGAGGCCGAGGCGGGTGGATCACGAGGTCAAGAGATCGAGACCATCCTGGTCAACATGGTGAAACCCCGTCTCTACTAAAAATACAAAAAATTAGCTGGGCATGGTGGCACGTGCCTATAATCCTAGCTACTCAGGAGGCTGAGGCAGGAGAATTGCCTGAACCCAGGAGGCAGAGGTTGTGGTGAGCCGAGATCGCGCCATTGCACTCCAGCCTGGGTAACAAGAGTGAAACTCCGTCTCAAAAAAAAAAAAAAAAAATTACTGAGGACCTCAAAGAGCTTTTTTTTGTGTGTGTATACCTATCCAAATTTATTATATTAGAAATCAAAATTATAACAGTTATAAAACCTTTAAATAGCATATGTTAACATAAATAACATTTTAATGTTTCCAAAAAAATTTATGTCAAGCAGTGGCATTATTCTACATTTTTGCAAATCTCCTCAACATCTGGCCTAGAGAAGACAGCTGGATTCTCATATCCACTTCCATGTCCAATCTCTTCCAAAATGTTTAGGTTAAAAGTATGTTGAAGAAACACCAATCTCATACATATAAATAATGGCCTTCTGGATTTTCTTCTTTAATAGCACAAAACTCAACAGGTGGTTCTTTAAAGCATGACTGTAATTTTGGATCTAAAACCACATCAATGAATATTTTATATGTCATAACACTGAACTCTTTTGGTCTGTCTTGACCTTTAAGTAGATGTTTTACTTAGGCTTAATTTTATAATATCATGTATTGGTCATGCAGAGAAAATACATTCATGCAGAAATTGATAACTATAAACACTTTTTATTCTACAGTACCAAAAAAATCATACTAATATTGCCCCTCCTCTCAGTGTCAATACCAGAAAGCTACGAAACTCACAACAGCAGACAGAAGCTTTCCAAAATTCTGCTTTCAGATTGGAAGCTCGAATTTTATCATTGTCGAAAATTGTCTCTCAGTTCATTCAGTTCTGAGAAAATGTTTGCCTGACACCCAAGTCAAATTATTATACTTTATCATTCTATCAAGTAAAAATGGTGCTCCATGAAAAATGCATCTAATTCAGCTTATAACTCAATTATGCAAGTGTTCATTCCTCCAGCCAATCACCTTAAGTAGCAAATGTACTTTTTACATAATTACTATTTTGGCATACAAAATATTAAAAAGATACATATCTTATGGTTGAGATTTAATAAAATAATTAGTATTGCTTTATTAAGCAATTGGTAACTCTGGTTTTTCTTTTTATTGTTTAAGATTGTACGTCAGTAAGGTATAAAATGTGATAAACAGCTAAGTGCACTGCCTTGATTTGTGCTAAAACACCTGAACATTTTATACATCATGGCTTTTGTACCATCAGTGCAAATTTCAGCACAACAAAAATGGCAAATAACATCTCAGTACTCTTATAAAGATGGATTTGTCTTCACAGTGTCCCTGAAAGGGTGTTAGGAACCACTATGGTTCTGCAGACCACACTTTAAAATCCACTGTTCTAGACGTTAGGACAGAAAAGTTTTAAGATTAAAAAAAACATTATTGAGAAAAGAAGAAAATTATAATTTTATCATTAAAATTGGTAAATTTTGCTTCTTGAAATATAACTATAAAAGTAAAAAAGACAAGTCACAATCTAGAAACCCTATTTACAGTAGAGACACCAAATAAGATATCAATGATATTCAAAGAAGTCCTACAAATCAATAAGAGCATAAACAACCCAACAGAAAAATTAGCAGAAAACATGACTAGACATTTCATAGAAATAGTTTGGCAGCCAAGCCCAGCACTTTGGGAGGCCGAGATGGGTGGATTA